GCAGGAGGAGGAAAAGCAAGGGGGTTGCATTGTTTTTTTTTAATTTTTTTTTTTTTTTTTTTTTTTTTTTTTTTTAAAAAAAAAAAAAAAAAAAAAAAAAAAAAAAACACTGGAGAAGAAAGAGGGAGAGGTCAAGATGGTGAACCTGCCTGGCAAATCAATTAAAAGTTGCAAAGATAAAATAACTTTAAATAAGTGAAAAAACATTGTTTTTTTGTTGACGTGGACAAAAATGAACATGTGACTCGAACTTCGAAATTTCAATACTTAACCATATGTGTGGAACAAAATGCCCACCAAGCTCACCCTCCTCCCTCCCCCCTCAAATCACTGCGGCGCCTCCCCTTCCATTCACTTTCCATTACCATCCTTCCCCGAACACAATGCACCCTCATTACGAATGGATACAAGCGATCTTTCCAGTCCCATACAGTCATAATGAGGGTGCGTTAAGTCCGGGGCACGACAGTAGGTACTACCAACTTCGTGTAATTGCCCCCGCGTGTTTAACGACTTTGCGTTTTTCGTCTCTTCTTCTCCGTGTCCCATACAAACCTTTTGACAGGTGATGAGACGTCGCCGATCTTTCCCTGATGCGTCCTTGAAACTTCCCACTCGCACAGCAGGAAACAGCTGCAAGCAATCGACAAAGCCATACAGCCCGACGATCAGGAAGGGTTCTAACTTCTAAGATGACATGCTATGCCCACAGCCAGTCAGAATAACGAATTTACGCTGATGCCTCCAACCGACTGACCGGTCTCTGTATAATCAATGGCATTTGTTCTTTCTTTCTTCTTTTTTTTTTTTGGAAAAGGGCAACGGCGTTGAGATATCATCCTTTGAAATTGGAATGGGCCGGCCCTACCGTCTTCATTCGAATAGAACGCCCGGTCATTATAGCCGTATTTGCTGCACTTTTCAATCCAGATACAGCTATAATCATCGGGCGTTCTATTCGGGTGAAGACGGTAGGTAATTCAGAGTAGCAGTCTCTTTTTTATTCATTTGCTTCCACTGCCACTACCTTCTTCCCCGGAATACAATGTACGGTCATTATATAGCTGTATGTATTTAGACTGAAAGATACCCCAAATACATACAGCTATATAATGACCGTACGTTGTATTCGGGGGAAGAAGGTAGAGATCGAACTCGAGGGGGTCTGTACTGTATTTCATCAACTCAGTCCAGGGGGGGTGTACCGACTGAGCTAGGCCAGTTGGTAATCAACGGCAGTAATTAGTCATCCAAACTCACTCACTCTTTTTTTTTTTTTCTTTTTTTTTTTTTACTCTTAATTGACAAGGCGATCGGCTTCCCCATGAACACCATGCACCCTGATCATGAATGTATACAAGCTATCTTTCCGGCCAAATACAGTCATCACCCCGGGCACAAGGGTGGTGTTGCATTCAGCGGGAGACGGTGGAGGGAGTGACTGTTCCATGAAGTTTCAGATCGTAATCAGAAACAGAAGCTGTCGATCTGACAGCAGCTGTTCCTGACTCCGACAAACTGCCCGCCTTTGCCGCGAAGTTGCGCGAACACACAACGCACCCCGATCAGAAATGTATTCAAGCTATCTTCACGGTCCAATACCATCATCATCAGCGGGCCTCTCTCTCAAGAAAAGAAACAAAAACTCTACTGTCTCCACCGGAATAGAACGCCCTATCATTATCACTGTATCTAGACTGAAAGTTGGCCAAATACAGCCGTAATGACCGGGTGTTCTATTCGGGTGGAGAAGGTAGATCCATAGCTTCAACGCATTCCACGGTCGACCCTACGACCCTTGACGAGAAAATAAACAAAAATTGAAAATTTCATTCTGCAGTAAACAAAAACGGAAGAAATAATTGCCTACCTTCTTCCCCCAAATACAACGTACGGTCATTATAGCTGTGTACCTAGACTGAAAGATGACTCAAATACAGCTATAATGACCGTACGTTGTATTCGGGGGAAGAAGGTAGTCGCACCACTATCGCGTGCGTAGTCGTAATCCTACGGCCAATAACAAGAAAGTAAAAGAAAGGAAAAGAAAGAAATAGGGGAAAAAAAGAAAAAGAAAAAGAAAAAGAAAAAATGGTCTCGTGACCACAGGATGCTCAATTCTATGGCCTGTGATTATGAGGAAAGACATCAAAGAAAAAGAAAAGAAAAGAAAAAGGAAAAACAAAAAACGCTGAGCCTCTTCAGACTGTTCACAGTCTGCAGCCACAACGAGAGACAGAGTGAGAGCATACTCACACTACAGGATTTTCTCGGATGTATATGACTGACATTGCGGCTTCGCCTGCATGCATCTGACCGCAATTATGTCAAGAGACGAGTTGAAAGGTCCTAGCGTGAGTATGACCTGACTGCATTTTCCAATCCACGGTTCCATCTTTCTCGCCAATGAGTGCGAACAACAGATCTGCTCCTGCAATAGTGAAGTGGTCATCGCCATACGTTTTCTTTTTTCTTCTTCTTCTTCTTTTTCTTTTTTTTTCTTTTTTTTCTTTTTTTTCTTTTTTTTCTTTTTTTTCTTTTTTTTTCTTTTTTTTTCTTTTTTTTCATTTTTTTGGCTCCTTGAAATTCTTAAAGCTCAAATACTATCACTTTTTTTTTTTTTTTTTGGCTGAAAACCGGGTCCAGCGTCCCTTACAAAATTTACTCACTCGTGAAATGCAATTTGATTTGGAAAATTATATATATTATATATACATATTAAAAAAAAAAGAGTCTCACTCCACACTTGCCTCTGTTATGAACTCCACGGTCGTTGGAATAAGAGGTTCAACGAAAAAGCCTCGGACAAACTGGCGGTTTAAGAAATTATCAGTTTAATACTCCGTTTATTAAATTAATAATAATAATTCGTAATAAAAACATATATAGTTGAAAATATCCTGCTTTCGGAACTGAAAATAAAACCGTGAAAAAAAAAATGTTTAATTTTATAATTTTATTACCTTTGTGACTTTGTTTAATTACTTTTTTGACTTTTTATTACCTTTGTTTATTTTATTTTATTACCTCTCGTAGCTGCTGCAGGAGCGTATAAGCATCGGGCATGGCCTCCAGTGACCAGCCGTCTCGAAGACCGGAGACCAATTGTCGATAGAGAAACCTGCATCAACAACAATCAAGGCCCTCGACAAACGCCAAAGGTCCCAACGACAAAAGTCCCAAAGGTCCCAACGACAAAGGTCCCAAAGGTCCCAGCGACAAGGTCCCAATGACAAAGGTCCCAAAGGTCCCAACGACCAAGGTCCCAAGGTCCCAACGACAAAGGTCCCAAGGTCCCAACGACAAAGGTCCCAAAGGTCCCAAGGTCCCAACGACAAAGGTCCCAAAGGTCCCAACGAGAAAGGTCCCAAAGGCCCCCGAGTACCAAATGGGACAGGCAACCCGAAAGAAACAACAACAAGAATGAAGAATTAGACGTGGGCCAGCATTGACTCAGACTTCACGCTGGATTTGAACCCGGGTCATTGCAGGGACGAAGAACAATGAAATATTGGAAATAACCACAAAGACGACAATTTTGACAGCAATGAGGAGCAGAGAAGGGTCGTGTGA